GTGCGCTGGTCTCAGAAATCGCCTTCATCTAACAGCACCCGGCCACCTGCTCCTTGAATTCTGCTGTTAAAAGACGTTAGCAGACCATCTGTTACGGGGTGGCACGCTGAGGATTTTTGGTCCTGTTCATATTCACGGGGGGGAAAGCAGCGGTATTTAATCAATCTGCTTGGAATTGCTTTATATGATTAGCGTGTAATGATTCAGGTAGGTCATGGACACGGACATCTTTTTTATTACTGCATTAGACAGCTAGAAGCACACATCAATCCCATAAAAGATACAAGGGTTGATGCACTTTGGGGGAAATATATTCAGCCACCAAAGAAAACAATAATAATAAAAAATGCAAATGTGATAGATAATGACTCTTACAAGGAGGAGGGAGGGACAGGAAGAGGGTTAGCTTCAGGCTGATGTGCGCTCTCTCTCTCTCTCTCTCTCTCTCTCTCTCACACACACACACACACACACACATGCACACACACACACACACACGAGCCCAGCAAAAAGAAAAAGGGTGTCAAAAGAAGTAACAGGTGCTACCCAGCACCTGGAATCCTTGTTCCTTACATGGCCCTGTGATTATGCCTGCCCTGCCCACTAACTTTATCCCTTCCTGGTCAGGTGGCTAAGTCTATCCATCTTTTGCATTTCCCACAATGCCTCTGCTTTTTAAGGCTGTGCCAAGGAAACTTTTTCAGCCGAGGGGCCACATTCCCTTATGGGCAGCCTTTCAGGGGCCACACACGTTCGGATCGGTGGGGCCAGAGGCAAAAACACATGGGACCACAGATGTGAACTTTGTCACAATTTAGCCACACAAAAGTCAGAGGTTTCTACACCCTACCTTCTCATATTCTATCCAAACAAGCGAGAGACATTACTGCAGTTGAAGTACGCATTTCCCGACAGACAAAAGCACTTGAGGGGGGTGAGGGGAATGACAATTAAGGGATGTTGCATGGGTATGGTCTAACGAGAGTCCCAAGGCAGTGATGAAATTTGGCCCACAGCTGAGAACATCAGTGTCCTCAGAAACCCACTCTGAACATAGTAACATAGAAAGAGCCTGCTGAATCAGGCCAGTCGCTCACTTAGTCAAGCATCTTGTTCGGTGTCCCCACCCAGATGCTTGTGGGAAACCTGCAAACAGGACCCGAGCACAAGAACACTCTCCCGTCCTATGGCTTCCAGCAACTGGTATTCAAAAGTATTACTGCCTCCAATTGTGGAGGCAGATTATTGCTGACATGGCTAGTAGCTATTTGATAGCCTTATTCCCCATAACTTTGTCCAGCCCTCCTCTGAAGCCATCCAAATGGTGGCCATCCAGTGTCTCCTGTGGGAGTGAGTTCCAGAGATTAACTACGTGCTGCATGAAGAAGTACTTTATTTTATCTGTCCTGAATCTTCCAACATTCAGCTTTATTGGATATGATATTTGCAGTGCACATTGATGGCAAAGTGAATTCACTTTGCTCAAACCTTGATGCAACAGTTAACACAAAGCATAGGGAAGTTCCAACCACATCTTAACCAGCTGTGTGGGATCACTTTTAGTTATGGTGGCATTTGGATGTAGAAAAGAAGCTGGCAGCTGCATGTTTGATGAATGCATATCTGTATCTGTATCTGTATCTGTATCTGTATCTATATTACTGCTGGACGCCAGACTTGAGATTTTCTGTGCCAAACAGCAAGTTTTCTTGGGCCAGCTCTGCAAGTGTGTCCTCTTTCCATGGTTGTTGGGTGTCCAATGCTGATGCTGGACATTCTACAGCTTCACAGGCCATGGAAATAGCAATACCTGGATTTATTTGCAGAAACCTATCTTGTGCAGCAAATTGTGTAAGCTTCTTTTGTTTCTAAGTCAACTGAATGGATACTATTTTAAAAATACAACATCATTTAAAGTATTCAGAGTGTTATCATTAAAGTGTCACATACACATCGAAGGGGCTCTCTTTTTAAACATCTCTTTAGTAGATTACTCACCTGCATATTGTCCAAAATAAAATTCTAACTAGAATACTATAATAGCCATCCTATAAATCAGTAATGTACTACATGTGTAGGTCATGTCACAGGCGAATAGAGCAAAATGTCTGGCCATATGGTGGACTTAAGAGCCAGCTCATCTACATTCTCTGTTACCAGGCAACGTCTCGGACTTCAGTCTCAGATTGGCTAAATAATAATGACCCCTTAACCCTTAAAAATGATTGATATTCACAGTACTAGTCAGGTTACAATCACAAGGGGGAAATACTGGCAGCAATTAGGCACTAAGGAATTTGGCAACATTCAAACATTTTCCCCAAATCCAAAAGTATCATTATTGTTTCCTTTATGTGATGCAAATCTATAGGCTTGTTTCTATAAGGCTTCTTCTCCCCACCATAGTCTGCATGTGCAGATATTGAAATATATTAATCATACACAAATTGTTTGGCTTCCTAACAATGCCCCACTAATTAGTGCAGGAACTGCCACCTCCCATAAGTTGGAAATCCCTCCACCACCTCTGCCTTACTGTGCTGTGGTGACACAATTTCTTTTTCACCATTTCCCCCCAACATGTCAACTGTGTCAAATGCTGCTAACTGCCACAATGCTGCTCCATGACAGATAGGACCGCTTGTGGCAGAGATGAAAAACTAAAGAGTAACAGGCACATTTAGCAATGAAAGGAACAGATTTGTAAAGCAAGCTCAGGATGAATAGCTGCTACTTGGAAGTATAGCCAAAACACCTTTCAGTTCTAACTTTCCTACCCCCTTGTGGCAAAGAGGAGTTATTAGATACATAAGCGCTTTCCCCTTGTAAATTACCGTACATTTGCATCCCTCTGTGGTTTTCAGACTGCATTCTAGGGAAACCCTGGGCTTTCTCAGAGGTTTATTCCTCAAGGAGAAAACTGGGTAACTATAGGGAAGCTTGCCTACTGGTCCCAAATTTCCCCCTTCAACATGCAGACAACAGGGGAATGTTGAATACAGTGGTACCTCGGGTTAAGTACTTTATTCGTTCCGGAGGTCCGTACTTAACCTGAAACTGTTCTTAACCTGAAGCAACACTTTAGCTAAGGGGGCCTCCTGTTGCTGCCGTGCTGCCGGAGCACGATTTCTGTTCTCATCCTGAAGCAAAATTCCTAACCCGAGGTAATATTTCTGGGATAGCGGAGTCTGTAACCTGAAGCGTATGTAACCCGAGGTACCACTGTACATTCTTCCAGGGCACACTCTCAGTCCACACGATGAAACAGAAAAGCCAAAGGACAGGGCCAGATTGACACTTTTAGAGGCCCTAAGCACTGACAATATTATGCTGCCCCCATTCAAAATAAAAACAATATTAATCCATATATATATACACACACACACACACACATACAGTATATAATCTGAAATAACATAAAACTTACATGTATGCTGAAATGTGCATGCATAGATGTCATGTGCAACACACAACAGGGTCTACTTCCTCACATTATTTTGATTTATACTAGTAGGACACCCTCTGGTTTAGTTGGTGACAATAAATAAAAAGAACAGAAAAATGGAGGAAAAGTGTGCACTGGAGTGTAAGGAAGTCTAAGAATTCTGACTTTCCCCATTATGACTACTTCAGTGGTTTTGTGAAATAGCAAATGTCAAATTATTTCCAATTCTCTCTCCCTCTCCCTCCTCACCCCCCTGCTTTGTTAGTGCTCTAAGCATGTGTTTGGTCTGCCTATAGGGTAATCCAGCACTGCCAAACGAGCTGGACCCACAAGCAACATGAACTGGGTGCACCATGGAACACCCACTCAAATCTTCTGCAATATCCAGAAACTTTGTAGGAAATGTGCTATGTGCAGACAAAGTAGCATGTAAATGGTTCTATGAATGAACTGTGAAAACCTTGAGTATGTCTAATTTCTATGGAGCGAGACAATATCTACTCAGAAATGCCTCATTTTCCAGACAACACTATTGTTCGGTGGGAGTTAATGATCCAACTAGGGTCCAACTAGTGTGTATACAACAGCATTTTCCTGGTCTCTTCCCAACCCCTCAGGTTCAGTCCTCAAAACCCATCAATGAATGTGGAATGGCATGTATGTGATAGTGTGAGGCTCCATATCATGTTGGATCTAAGTCAACAATTATCCTACATTTTGTGGAATTGCTTCAGACAGACTGCAGTTTTATTTAGGAGAGAATTAGGTATAAATTAATTACAAAACAACTGTATTTCTAAGCTCAGGATGTGTGTTCATGGATGATTACTTTCCTTACTGCAACCCATTCAAGTCCTTTATGATATAAATACACACTGGTGGATCAAACTAAGAACAGGCATGGTTCACTGAATGTTACCAGCTTACAATGCTAAAAGTAAAATAGGACACTTTGGAAAAGTATGGGGAAAACAGATTAATCCAAAACGACGTTGTCACGTCTAATCTTTTGTTTTTGTTTTTAAGTGAGAAAATTAACAAAAAATGTAAGCTGTAATTATTCAAAAATGTCAGTAAATTTATTCATTATATTAATCCAAAAGATCTAGAGGACTGAGAATACTGGCTAATCTTTCAGGGAACATCAAAAATATTATTTTCTACTGTTTTCAGTATACACAAACACACAACTATGAGGAAATGAGAAATCCACACATGACCCATTAAGTAATTCAGATTTCTGTTTCATTATAGACCATTTTAATTGTGATTTACTCATTTGTCCACAAGGAACAGATTCAAATACTGCTTAAGGAGATATCTATTAATCACATTATCAGCACCCCCCACACTCAACTGTCTCCTTCCTTTCCCTCTTTCCAACTCCTCAACTACAGGGTTCTCACAACAAACTTTTAATCACAGACTCATATTCAACAGAACACAACAATCTTTCCATTTTGTGCAGCTGAAGGTGCAAATCAAGCTGGGGTGAGGGCTTGAGAACTATGCATTCCATCAACATAGAAAAGAAACCAGAGAGAGTTGCACTTACAGAATGAATGCTCCGCTCTAGAAAACTGTAGGCTCCACTTACATGAGGCTTCTGTGTAGCTTCCTGAAAATAAAAACAAACACAAAACCCATCACACTATGTTCTTGCTGCACCATCCTCCACATTTTATCCTAACCCTAAGAGTACAAAGAATTAGGAGAGGCAAAAATAAGTATATATTCACACAGCAAATAGTTACTCTATGGAATTTACTCCTACAAATATTTAGTGATTGCCACCAACTGGGATGGCATTAAAAGAGGATGAGATAAATTCATTAAGGCTGTGTGCTACCTCCACTATCAGAGGCCTCTGAACATCACTTGGTGCAAATCAGAAGCATGCAAAGTGTACAGATGTGCTCAGGTCCTGCTAGTGGGATGCTGGATAGGATGAGCTATGTTCTGACTATGAAGTGGTTTCTGTGATTAAAAGATTGGTGTAGGTATGTATGAATGACCTTTCCCTTGGAGAAGAGAGAAAGATCGAGGCTCATGTATTCCCTTCTCATTCTCTTCCAAGAGGCGAATGCCTGAAGGAGAATATCCCATGAATATTTGAATGGCAAACATACAATTGTGCAGTCAATTAACTTCAGGGTTTTCAGGTTCTCAGGAAGAATCTCAGGGGGAGATGAAAGGTAATATCTGATCAAGCACAGAAAAGTATTTATATCCCAATAACTGTACGGTCTAATGGATGGTTTTACAAGTTTCCTCACTTCTTCCCTGAGCAAGATTACACAGCATCCATCTTAATGACTAGCCAACAGATCGAAACCATCACAGTGAAAATGCAAAACTGCTGATGAATAATTTGAACTTTTCTGCTTTCCTCCCCTCTCCAGAACCCTTCAGCATTGCATTATAATGCAAGATTAAGAGAGTAGAAACCCAGCTTTGTGTGAGTTTCTTCTCTCTATCACTCACCATTGCTGGGAGAGCGTAGTGGTATACATTTTTATCCATTGTATAAGCATAAGTTTGAAAAAAGTGGGGTGCAGGATTGTTCAGAGTGCCATAAAAGTCATCTATTCCCCCCTTACAATATACAGATGCACACCATACATTTGAGGAAGATTCAATGCACATTTAAAGCACATAGTTTCCCTCAGAATTCTAGGAACTGTAGTTAGGGGTGCTGTAACTGTAGCACTGTAAGGGCGAAAGTATAATTCTCAGGATTCTTCAGGGAAAGTCATGTGGTTTGAAGGCACATTGAATGTATGTTAAATGTATGTTGTGGGTCTTTCCGAAGGCTAAATGCACACATTCTGAAAAAAAACAGAAAACTGAAATCCGATTTGAGTAGTAATTTGGATCAAGAGCAATGATGACACATGCAGGAGATTACTGTCAACCAAACATCAAACGCAAACCCACACACAAAATCAAATCACACATTTAACCCATTTTAAAAAACAAAAACAAAGCAAAACAGTCAAGTTATAAATAGACCTACATAGAGAATTGCTGGTCATTTAAATTTCCAGCTCCAATTAGATAAAGTTATCACCAACTGAAAGCCAGATTATCTTTGCTTTATAGGAAAGCCAAAAAGAAAAGAAAGCTTTTGAACTATGAGCAGGGCTATAATTAGACAACTTGGATTATTACTCCTGCTTTGAGGCTTGCTCTCCCTTTTGTCATTGTTACTGTTTTTGTTTGGCCTCCGTTTAATTTCCTGTCAGCCTTACAAGAGATTTCTAATGTTTGGGCTGTAGAATAAGTTCTGATTAAAAATAATCTTCCCAATTACAGCTTGGCACAAGCTAAGACTGCCACGTGTTCCCTGCCACTAACCTCTGGGTTTCTGTCTGCAGTAATTGTGTCTATATCAGCCCCTAACTGCAAATGAAAACCCAGGGGGCATATTCAGGCATCCAGCTTCCCGAGCCTTACCCATATCTCTTAATTTGCACTGTCTGTCAAAAGGAGATGCTCTCCAATGTACTAAAATGAAATCCTCAGAAACGGCGGGTCAAATGAACAAGGGGAAATGGGAGGGTTTGGAATTGAAAGTGGGGGGAGATGTAGCAGAAATCTGAGTCTCAGATACGAGGGTGCCTCAACACTCTTCATTATAATTCCCATCCCTGTCCACATGCACACTGAAACTGGTTAACAAATTCCAAGGTGGCATTTTCTCTTTCATTACAGAATCTTCTCAATCCAAACATTCCATGCCGAAACTTCTAAAATAAAATAAAATAAAATGCTGAAGTTATGTGTTGTTGCTTCCAGTTTCCCTCTCATAAATGCACAGCCAATTCATGTGGTAAAATGCAACAAAACAAGAGTAAAGGAAATACCAGGCTTTTCAAACAGCTTAGATTTAGCATATGGATGGATGCTTATTGATTGATGCTGCAACATCAAGTGAATGAACTGCTGCAAGTTAAACATAGCAGACATATCACCTCCCAGTGGAAAGCTGGTTCATTAGAACAAATGGGGCACTGCCCAACCAAGTTCACTGTGTCTTCAGACAGCCCCCCTACACTGTTGTCTTACGTATAACCAGTCCAGGGAGTGGCACTGCCTGTCAGCTGATTCACAGCATTGCCTTTGTAGAACCCAGTATAGAGGAAGATGTGGGCAAACCCACACTTAGTTGTATTTGCCTGTTATTGGCCCTGGTTCCATCTGCTGTTGGGCTCCATGCTTTCTACCCTTCCAGGCTCACTAGACACCAACCACCACTATGCCTAGTGTCACACAAAACACAAAGCTCGCCACAACTCCTCCAGTGGACCAAGCCTGCACATTCACCTTTCACCCTTCAACTGGTGGGAAATCAAGACAGATAGGTATAAATATGTGCCCAGCGAAACTTGTTTTCTTCTTTCCCCACACAAAATCAGAGAACGATATAGTGATATACTGCAAGGAGGGCACAAGGGGCTTAGCTCACTCACTACATTCTGGGGGGTGTGGTTTTTAGACAGATATTAATTTCTGGTCTAATAGGCTGCCTGTCCACTTTTCCTCTGGAATCAAGTGTGGTGAGCCTGATGCTCTCAGTCTGTAGGTTTTTGTTTTGTTTTGTTTTTGAAGGGAAAGGAAGTTGGACAATAAATTTTCTACTTCACTGAGGGATGTATAGCAGTTCCACATTTAGTAAAACATCTGAATTGCAGGCAGTGGGGCTGGAAGGGTGTCCTGTTACTTTTAGGGTTGGAACTGCAGCTCTGCAGCCCCTTGCATTCCTCCTGCTCAACCTGCATGTTTTAAAATGAGCAGCATGTTCCAAAAGCACTAAAGAGAAAAACAAATAAATGAACGAAAACCTCCAGTACATTATCCTCTCAAAGAAACCACCACAGTTGAGTTACCTCGGGGTATCTTACCACCGAGTAGAATAAGAACGAGTGAAACAATCTGTCTAGCTTCCTCTCTTGTCAGTAAATCCCACAGAGGTCAATAGAGGTATTAATGTGATTAAATTATTCAAATACTTTAGGGGTTCCATTTTCTGGTCCTGAAATTTTAATCAGTACTATGCTCACCCAGAACTGCTGTGCCTGTACATACACAATTGCAAAAATAAAATACTTTGAAGAATAGAACTATTACTTTTGAACCAGCATTCAATTTAGCACCATTATGTGTCAGAATATGGCGAAGATAAGCATTAGGAAGTCACAATTGTTTTGCTCATTCATCAGCGTTTTATATCAACTCCTATTTTTCAGCACAACGTTTTTCCCATTTCTATTATCAAGATTAATAACCCAACAATGCACAAAAGCATAGACTGGACTGAGGTAGGGAGAAGGGTGGGGGAAGAAAAAGACTATGATTTACTTCCTCTGATTACTGTTTTATTTACACTGCTGAGAACATTCTATTTTTCTGCTTCATAATTTAGCACTTGTCCCATAAAGGAACATTAAGGCAAATCACCCCTTCTGTTTAACCACAGCATGCTAAACTGTACTCTAAAGTAATCCACTTTAGAAAACAACAGCAGCAGCAGCAGCAACAGCAACAACAGTGTTTTCCTATAGCACTTGCAACCAGATAACCAGAAGTAAGGAGAGGAGACATAGGGAAGTGGTTTGAAGTAAGGCCAACCACATTGCATTAATGATCTGCAGAGGTAAAAATCCATGAGCAACTTATACTGCTGCCTAGCTTTACTAACTTGGGAGAAGGGCAATGACAGGCCTAGACAGCATCTTGAGAAGTAGAGATGTCACCTTGCCAACAAAGGTCCGTATAGTTAAAGCCATGGTTTTCCCAGTAGTGATGTATGGAAGTGAGAGCTGGACCATAAAGAAGGCTGATTGCCGAAGAATTGATGCTTTTGAATTATGGTGCTGGAGAAGACTCTTGAGAGTCCCATGGACTGCAAGAAGATCAAACGCATCCATTCTTAAGGAAATCAGCCCTGACTGCTCACTGGAAGGACAGATTGTGAAGCTGAGGCTCCAGTACTTTGGCCACCTCATGAGAAGAGAAGACTCCCTGGAGAAGACACTGATGCTGGGAAAGATGGAGGGCACAAGGAGAAGGGGGCGACAGAGGATGAGATGGTTGGATAGTGTTTTCGAGGTTACCAGCATGAGTTTGACCAAACTGCGGGAGGTAGTGGAGGACAGAGGTGCCTGGCGTGCTCTGGTCCATGGGGTCACGAAGAGTCGGACACGACTAAACGACTAAACAACAACAAAGCTTTACTAATCAAAAGGTAAGCCTGTCGCTGGCTAAAGTGTGGGTTAGTATTTTACTCTCTCTGTTCTTACTCTTTAAACATGTGTAAGTGATGTGCGAAAATGAACACAGAAACAATACAATGCTGTAATAGAAATAGGAGATACAACACAAAACCCAGCAGAACAGTATTATAAAAAAGACTCTCCTCCCTGAAAGAGAGGGGAGTGGTTGTGGGCGGGAGCCTGAACACCGCTTCTAGCAGGGGGCGTTGCCCCCTGCCTCCAGCTCACCTGGCTGGCGCTCACGCCCCCCCGGTGGCCGCCCAATCAGGTGCCATGGGGGGGCGTGTCCAGCAGCCTTTATGCTGCAGTGCCAGCCTTTCCCTGGCCTCATTTCTCTTTGTCG